GTGTGAGCAGAAGAGGAAGAACAGGGAAGTTAGGAGCATGAACTTCCTCCAGATCACGGTTTTCCCACATTTCCTAAATTCTAGGTCGGAGTCAGGAAATGCTGACAAAAAGAAACATGCCAGTTTGTGAAATTTCATCTCTAAAAAGTGAGAAGGTAGGAAGAATGAGAGTTTTAGTTCTCATGATGTATACAGAAAAAAACAGCAATGCAATCAGCTGGAATTCCTTGTGTATGTTCTTTTTACGTATGGCTGATGTAGATCACATATAGCTTACAATGTGGAGCATTAGATTACCTCAAGCTGCTCAAAGGATAACATGGATGACTTCTTAGCATCTCAGAATAAATGTATCCCGAACTGTATTTTCCCACTTCAGAATTAGAGGAACATAGAATCATAGAATGGTTTGGGTTGGAAAAGACCTTAAAGATCATCATGACTTATTGTCCTTGATTCACAACAAATCACTGTAAGTTAACCTTAAAGAGCAGAATGGAAACTGGAAGTACTATGATTAGAAGCATCCTCCACAACCCAGAATGAACTAAGGCTTTTGAATGAGCATGTCTGCAACTTGATCACAACAGTCCTACTGACGTGTCCTTTCTGACAACAGAGAAGGCCTCCCTATTTAACCACCCACACGTTAAAGTTTGCATCTTCAGACTAGTGTCCAAGGAAATTCAACAGCTTTCTGCCGAGGAGACAAAATACTTTTTCCCTGCTCATGATATCTACTTGTCTCTACTATATAAATGCAGGACACACCTCAGCATGGTCACCTGGGGGTTAAGGACCATCAGAACTGACACAATGACTGCCACAAACAGACTGACATGCAGTCTGACCTCCTAAAACCTGTAGCTCCTTCCTCGGTCACTTTAACAGAGACATGACTGCTGAGATATCTTTAATTACTGCTATTTAGTGAAAAGCCTTCTCTAAAAACCATGAGAAATTAGACGACTGATGCGATTATGTGTATAGGTACCACTGCCCTCTGCTGGGTAGAGCAGCTGCCATATTTTCCCATGTTATTTTCATGTGTTTAGTGACATATTCACATGTGGGGCTGGACTAGTGGAGGGCAAACAGTCCTACCTCATGACCTATGTATGTGATAGGCACTGGAATCTTTTCAGAGCACAATACATCAAATGAAAGGAAGAAGGGTTAATCCAACCCAGATACTCCTGAGGCAGGATTTCCAAAGCCAAAGCCACCTCCTGGAGTATGATGTATTCGACCTGCTTTTACTATACCTGCAGATTTAGGGCGTCCATCTGAGATATTCAGTGTTGCCTCCAAAGGGCTGCAAAAGCAAGTGCTAGAATGGCAACTGGATAAACACTCACTGAAGACAGAGTTAGATGAATTGGAGAGCGATCCAGAAGCTCCATCACTCAGCTCATAAAACCCTATAAAAATAAGAGTTTGGATTTATATTAGTTATGTCTACACAAAGTTACCATTTGTGTCCCTAGAAAGGCAGTCCAGCTCATGTTTATGTTGGCTTAGTCAATGGCAATTAGTTATGGGATTTCATTCAGTCACCCAAAAAGCAGTGCACAATTTAGTAATATCCTTATTGCTATGAAGGATTCCATTTAAAACTAAAGCACTTAAAGAGTGAAAAAGCAGAACTTTACTTAGCATATGAAATTTCGAACTTTTTTTTAGCCTTTACAGGGGCTAGGGTTCTAACCTTTACAGAGGCTTTCAGATTTTAGCAAGAAGGATCCAGACTGTGTTTGACAGCCCTCTCATTTAACAGCGTATTACACGTCCAAGAGAGACTCTCCAGCTATTGCTTGACTACAAAATTTTTACCAAGTGGGATGGCCCAATGCCATCCATTATTTTCCTCAAAGTTCTGGAGATAAATATAATATTTGTGGATGACATGAAAGAAGAAAAATGGTAAATAATGTGCAGACATAGAAAATTTAATTTCCCGGTAAATTGGGAATACTCAGGAAAAAATATGACATACCGCAATCAAAATTTAAATTGTACATTTAAGAATAAGGGATGGAGGGCATGTCTACAGAACGGGGATGCACCCTGGAAAACAATAATCCTGGAAAGGACTTAGTCAGCATGGAAAAGCAGCTCAATCAAGCTTAATGATATGGCCAAAAAAGCTAATGAGATTGTTGGATATACAAAGAGACTAATGAACTGCAATAGGGAAATTACTTCAGCAGAATATACGGCACTGGTAAGAAAGACATCGGAATGGTGTGCCTAGTCCTTCAATCTAACATGCTTAAAACAAAGCTAAAAAATTGGAAAGGGGCCATAAAGCTATTTAAGATCTTGGAAAAATGCCTTAAAACAAAGGACTTAATCAACTTGACCTGTTTAGCTCATCAGAAAAAATCAGGAATTAAACTGTACAGCACCTCCAAGAGGAGAAATAGCTGGGCACTACAAAAAAGCTTAGTCTATGGGAGAAAAACATATAAAAAACCAGCACTGGAACAAGTAAAATTCAGATCATAAATTAGCAATTTTTTTAACAATTGCAAGCTGGTTGATTCTCCACTCTTTAGTGTCTTCAGAACAAGTCTAGACGCCTCTGGGAAAGGCTCCCCATAGTTAAATACTACTTACTGGCTTCAACACAGTTAGAAAGGGATGAAATTCAATATATGGGGGATCAAATTGTTTGATTCAGTGTTCCCTTCTGTCTGTAAGATCAATTTTGACATCTTCTTCTTGCTGCTGCTGCTTCCTTCCACCATTTTTACTGCAGCCTCCTTCCTAATATGCAGGAGAATTAGAACTTTTTTGAACTAATTTGTGGGTGGCCTTGGAAAAAAAAAAAAAAAAAAAGGTCCCAAACTCTAAAGATCAAATTAAGCTTGAAAGGCTCCCCTGAATACGCTGTCTACAAACAGCAACCCTTCCAGTGGTAGGTGAACTTTGCTAGGAGGCATTAATTATCAGAGTGTGAACATGCTATAGACATTCACTGCTGTGGTTCTGAAAGCTACATACCGAGGGAGGCTGAATATTGGCCTTACCTGAACTTGGACGACTGTCTGTCTCAAGGTGTTCATCTGTTGTTTTTTCCACGTCCAGGCGGAGATCACTTATTTGCTTATCTAGCTCTTGTAACTGATTTAGTAGGCCAGCATCCCTCCTCCTCAAGCAGTTCTAGAAGAGGACAAAAAACATCAGCTCCTTCAGTGGGGCAGACATGAAGGGGCTCCAAAGACAATCCATCAGCCCTCTCCATCTGAGCTTCATGGAAATACCTTGCCAATATTTTTTATAAAAAACCAAAACAGAACAAAGCCCTGAAATTCTAGATAGATGCTCTGGATAAATACTTAACTGCAGAATTATGCAGGCACTTCATTCCAGGCAGTCCTACATAAGGAGCACACTCCACAATTTAGGAAGACCAACACACTGTGTTGGCAAAGCGCTCCTTTGCGGGACCACAGCTGTAACAACAAAGCTGCATTGTATGATATGGTAAAACCAGACCTGTGTGCATGGAACGGGCTACTTCAGTGAAAGGACAGCTTTGCTAGACAAGTAGGGGACGTCCAGCACCACAGTGATGTTAGTCAAAGATCACATCTGTTCACACAATGGGACGAAACAGCTCTGCCAACAAGTGCTTAGAGTGTGGGAACCGCCTTGTTCTGGTGAGTATTATGAGTTTATAGTCTATCATATAGACAGCAAGATTCCCAGGGCTGGGACCATGGCCCTTTTATTAGTTTTGCAGTACAGCAGGAAGGAAGAGTAATTCTTCCTCGTCTCGCATTATAATTGTATAAAATTGCTGTGAGATGAATTTTAAGGCTATTCAGGAAGGTAATTCGATGGTATAAAATAAGCAATAAGAAATGATTTTGTAAGGCACTCATTAACCCACGGTCAATGCAATCAGTTTCCCCGTGTGTACTATAATGTTGCTTATCCATCGCCTGTTCAGCTTCATACTCTTTAATTGTTCTGGCTTTGGGGAAAGCGGGGAAGGCAGAGGGAAGGTTTCTCTCTTTTTTTTTTTCAAGTGCATCATTTGATCGGCGCCCAGCAGTGCTCTGATACGCTCATCACACAGAGTTTAGATGCTCATAACTGGACTAGTTCTAAACCCATGAAATCCAGGACAACCTTTCCCCTGGGATGGGCCAGTCCTCGGGCAAAGGGAAAGCAAATCCTGATGGTATTGAGCGAGGCTGTTTGAAGATGCGCTGGCATGTAATAATACCATCCTTGGAGAACCAAAGGGGCGATCCCAGGTCTTCTCCCACATTTCAGCCGGGAGCTGGCTGGCAGCCAGGCTGGCAGAGGTGATGGGTTTGAGCGGTAACTTCACTGCGCCACCTACTGCCACCAGTGTCCCCCCTCCCCCAGCCAGCACCGCATCTGGTTCCAATCTGCAATGTCAAGTGCACAAATTAAAGTGCTACCACAAATCCCCGGGTTTTTTGGGTTTTTTTCTTTCTTTTTGAGTAATGATTCCCTGGTCCTTCACTATGGCTCTTGGGCTGCCAGCCCCTTCTCAACAGAAAAATCATTTATCTTTATCTTTTATTATCTTTTAAAGGAAATAATTCCAAATT